TTGAAGTAGTAAGGACGCGCCCGTGGACTAGAAGGCCGACGAATTAGGCTAGAGCCAACCTTGATGATGTCATCTGATACAAGGAAGGAACTGAACTGGGGCGCTGCAGACTACATTATCATACATAACGATATTTGGCTGAGTTTTAACGCGATGTGGACTTCTAGGTTATCGGATCTGGATAAATGTGCAATCTGTTCCTTTGGTATGATGCTGTAATAGATCTGGAAATTGGAGCGCATTCGCGTCCCGCCCAGCGCATGGAAAGGCTGGCCGTGCTCGTCAATGTTGCACCAACATATTGATACGTTTGATTCATGTATTCGTGGGAAGATATATCGTCTTATGAACGTGATCATCATGGCCAATTCTTATTTGGCGGCCCCTGCAGCTTGAAGTAACCCGGCTGCAGCTTCTGGAAAACCTCAGTAGGGTCATACTTGCGGGCGATAGCCCTCAGCTTGTTCGCACTTTTCCCATAGCTCTCAACTACATTCTGGAACTGGCTGGCGTAGTTCATGTAGATGTAGTCATTGACCATATCCCTGCGCTTTGCCTCGGCCTCCATTTTCCTGACGATGTTGGCGTTCGCCTTTAACACGCGCTCATCGTCCTCCTTTTTATCCCAGCGGCTGCTCAAGTTTATGAGGAGAATTGGGCCGTCGGCGGGCACAAGGCCTAGTGCATTTCCGCCCTTCTTCTGCATTTGCGTGAGCTGTGCGACAGTGATGACCTGGAAGGTGTTCGCAGGTAGGATACCGGCAACATCTCGGATCTTCTCGAACTCTTCGAACGTGGCGTCGAACATGAACTCTACCATCCCGTAGTCTAGCTTGGATGAAGCAGTCCAGAATGAGTCTCGATAGCCGTTGGGGTTGCTGTCGTTCAGCATTTGCGTGAAGTTGGCCAGCGTGTTCAATTGTAAGGTGTCCTGGAAGGCAGGAACCGCGCGATACTCGTCGAAGACTGGAGCGTCAAGAACAGGGTCAGAGTACTCCAGCTCGGCAACCGCGATCTTTGTGTTCGAAGCGGCATCCAGGAAGATGGCTAAGAACTGAGCAGCTTTTGGATCAGCCTCTTTGTTCGACCCCAAGTTCACGAAAGCATCGATAGCAGCAGGGAAGCTTTCCTCAAAGAACCTTCTCTGCCCCCCAAGCATCAACGGGCCGTGAGCGAAAGTTTCGAGATTGAAGGTCGTGACGATGCCGACATTGTTGCCGCCACCTCTCAATGCCCAGTACAGGTCTGGGTACGACTTCTGGCTTGCTTGTACGATGCGACCCGACGCGGTAACGACCTCGAAAGACGCAACGTTGTCACATGCCCAGCCGTATTCGTTAGAGAAGAACGAGATGCCGCCTCCCGTCGTGAGACCTCCGATACCGATAGCAGAGACGCGACCGCCTATGACCGCAAGATTGTCCTTGGCCAGGGTTGAATAGATGTCGTACCAAAGGCTACCAGGTTCAATGGCAGCAACCTTCTTATCTTCCGACAGTGTGATCTTCTTCATGCGCTCGAAGATGACAGTGATGCCACCATCATTGCTCGATGCTCCAGTGAATGCTGCATGCCCTCCACTTCGTACTGCAAAAGGGCATTGAGTGAGACGCGACAACAGAACGAGAGTAGACACATCGCGTGCTTCCTCGGGTTTGAAGACGCAATACGGTTGTGCTTCGCGCTGTTGCTGTGACCAGAAGTAGTTCACAGCTACGCCGTAGCCTGTCTCTTCCTGAGTCTCGACCTTCGCATCACCGAAGATGCGTTCAAGAGCGCTACACTAAGGTGGTGGTTAGTACCATACCTGGAAAGAGATAACGCGTGAAGGCAGATGAGACTTACAGCAACCGAACATGAGCCTGAGCTGGTTCGCTTAGATAGGTCGGCTGGGTCAGGGATGTCGGAGACGTTTACACCATTGTCCAATAATGCAGCGGTAACATCAAAGTCAGGTGACTCGAATGTCTGTTGTGCAAGTAGTACGCTTGGGAAGAAGCCCAGGAGAACAAATTGACTAAATCGCATCATGGCTGGATGTTAAGTGCCCAAGAAACATGTGCGACAAACAACAACCCCACAGCACGACTCGGGGGCACTTTCTTATAACATCCTGGATTCCTTTGCCACGACTAAAGAGCGCATGAGCCCGCCAGTCTGGTGCTGCCGGGCGTGACCCCGGGCAGTGGCGAGCTGTGAGGCAGGGTGGGGACCTTCCTAGCAACACCATGGCTTGTCTAGATAGAATGTTCGCAGCTGGTCAAGATTTAGTCAAGATGCCAGTCGAGTAATGTACGATGGTACCTAGGTTGTGGCGGCCACTACATGAGTAGTTTCCACGACCAGCACGATGGGGATCTGGGGCTATCCTCAGTTGGGCCTAAGCCGTATCCCCAAGTACGCGTGCGCCCGCCACGATTGTGAACTGCAACTCAGATCGCCTATAACGTCTCGTGGAAGCTTAAACACTTACTGCATCTACACACTGATTCGCGTCAGTAGACATTTCTTCAGCTGCTGTTAGTTCTCATGGCGTCTCGACGCAGCGGAAAAACGTAGCCGTCGTTGCATGTGCAGAAATGTCCGATCGGTGAGCTTCATGCAATAAGTGGGTTGCATATATTTCAATAGCTGTAACAGTATTCTCGCTTACGAGAGATTCGTGGGTTCACATTGTGTCTTGAAGATGAGGGCGAAGAGGTCGTTGTTCCTGGGCTGATGAGGGGAGCGGCTCCGAAGGCCGGACCAGGAAAGCGGAGTGAGGCGTGGGTCAACACTAAGCTTGAACTAGCAACGGCAGCCCCACTGCTCGCCTTCGCTTTCTTATCGCCTTTTGAAGTTTACCGTCTCGCTACCTATGCTTTTTGCGAAGCTCTTGTTACCATAATCGACTAAGTCATGGCGGCAATGGCCGGCGCCGTGGACCCCCCATGGCCTCGCTCCTTCCGTCTGAAGCCAAAGCCCAATGGCTCGCGGGTGCTGTTCAGCCACGATTGTTTCCAGGGTCCGCAAGATCTACCCCCTGAGGTTCTTTACAGCGACAACTTGACCAAATCCGAACAATTGGCGCGCGACTTTCTCGATGAGGCTGTCGTGGGCTTTGACATGGAATGGGTTTGGCCAGAGACAGAAGTCCTCAAGGGAAGAGTAGCACTCATCCAGGTTGCGAGCGAGGGCAAAATAGCCTTGTTTCACATCGGACGTCATGACGGAGATGCAGCCGATCAGCTCATTGCGCCGTCGTTGCGCACGCTCATCGAGAGCCCCACTGTACTGAAGACGGGCCAATCTATCATGGGAGATTTCTACCGACTCAACAAGTACTTCCAGCTACAACCGAAGGGCGCGATCGAGCTGAGCTATTTCCAAGTGTTGGTCAATCCGGGCAGGCCAAACTTTAATTCTTCTTATTATCCAGGAGGTCTCAGAGGTCTGGTCGAGAAGTACTTCCCGGGATACACGTTGAAGAAAACTGAGCACATGCACAAAGATTGGCTGGCGCCGCTTGAAACAAACCAAGAGCTTATACAGTACGCCGTTGCAGATGCATATGCAGGACTTATGATCTACCATAGGCTGAATGCGCTACGACTGAACATGCAGCCTTGTCCGCCCCTACCAGCACGGGTAGAAGAAACTAGGGCTTACAAAGAACACACTTCGGGTGTTTTTCCTGAGCCCAAGCCAATTTACTTGCAGTCCATCCACCCGCATGGCTCAAGTCGACAAGCTAGTTGGTTCTTTTCGATGGAGGAAGATGATGAGGTGTCGACGGAACTTGATACTGATTCGAGAGCGTTGTACGATCGGCTGGTAGAGCTTCGTCAGAAGATAGCGAATGAGGAGGAGATACACCCTGGACAGCTCACTACTGACTGTACACTTCGACATATTGCTTCAACCCGGATTGCGACAACGGATGAGTGCATAAAGCTACGCGGGATCTTTCCGCAGCTTCGTAAAATATTAGCCAGAGAGTATGCTAAAGTGGTAAATGCTTTCCAAGAGGAGATCCAAAGTGCAGCGGCAAACCAGCAACCTGAACATGGATCTCCAAAGATTGGTGAAGATGCCAAAGGCACCGTCTCAGATCCTCCCCAAGTGCCAGCGGAAGAGACCGGCCAGGCACATACTGGACTTTCATTCTCCATGGCAGAAACTGGGATCGCTACGGACGAGCATACCGGCGGCGATACCGAGCCTGAGAGCGATGCCGACGAAACGAATGATGTTTCAGCAATTCATGCTTCAGCTGGCGTTGAACAGAATCAAGACACCGACAACCATAAGGATGATGCACCGTTAAAGCGAAAGCGTTCAACTAGCCCACAAATCGGTCGGCAACCTCCTGCGAAGAGCTCCTAGACGCCTTGCCGTGGACAACTATACATCCAATGACGCAATGGTATGGCTGTGGCCACTTAGCGGCTACGTGTCTACTCCATATGAGGAAGCAATTGGACATCACCCTCCTAGAAGTTTGCAATACCTTAAGGGTTTGGTCAGCTTAGGGTTCAGCATCAGTGTAGACTGCAGCGCATCTGTTCGGCTTTCCCTTGCACGAGGTGCATCGGGGATTTGACCAGAACGCGACCGGGTCTCAGTAAAGAGGGGCTTGTATACATGCGAGAGCGGGCCCAGGTCATGTCAGAAAGTCAGCTTGTACGAGGGAAGGCAAAGGAAGGGACGCCCCGCAGCTGACGGCCGAAGCAACGCAGATTAGGGACCAACGGGGAGTAACTCTTGGCGTATTTACTCATGGAATGACGGCTAGGCTTGCTTACTCGCGTTGATTGGACTGAGTAGGTGCAGTTGTCAAAAGAGTGTACGAGGCTGCCTGCTTGGCTCTCGCATCAGGCGTGCCTACCTAATGCAAGGCGTAAGCTGTGTATTGTACAAACCCCGCGCCCGTCCACAGCACTTCTTCAAGTTCTCAAAACAACCCTCTGATCCTATCTACCTTACCTTCAAGTGCAAATTGTCTCGGAACCCAATTAAAAATGCCGATCGACTCATCAACATGGAAGGGTTATAGCAAGATGGACGCCGAATTGGAAGCTGTGCGAGCCATAAGCAAGTCCATACACGCACTTCGCTAACAGAGTAAGCTGCTACCAAATCTACCACCGAGCAAGTCTTTCGAAGACTACTCATCGGCTGTCGAATTGCGTCAGTCTTTCAATGAGCAAATCGCTCAACTGATCGCAGCTGGTATTGTGACTTTCCCAGACTGGACCGGGTACCACAAATCCGAAATTCAGATCCCCACGCGCGATGGCGCATCGATGCGTTCGCTGGTGTACCATCCAGAGGGCCAAGAGGCAGGGCCATTGTATGTGTACTTCCACGGCGGAGGATGGAGTTTTGGGATGCCGGAGTATGGCGAGGGCATGGCGGAAGTTTTGGTAAAAGAGTTGGGCTTTACGGTCGTAAGCATTGGGTATAGGTATGGGCCTGAACACGTCTTTCCTACTGCCGCGCATGATGCTATCGATGCGGTCAAATGGGTGAGTTCATGCACAGTCATTTCTTCTAATTCCAAGAGACTGATTTACACATCTTCAGTGTGCCGAAAACGCAGCTTCGTTGGGCGCCGACCTATCCAAAGGCTTCATCGTGGGAGGAACATCAGCTGGAGGTAATCTGGCAGCTGTCGCAGCTCATCAAGTTGTTGACGACAACTTGTCTCCGAAGGTGACTGGCGTCGTCCTCCTATCTGCCCCGTTGTGTCATCGCGAAGCCATGCCAGAAGAGTACAAGCCACACATATCCAGCTGGGAGGACCACAAAGACGGCTTGGTACTGAGCCGACAAGCCATCGAATGGTTCTATGGCAACTACAAACCAGACCCTATGTCACCGTTGATGAGTCCGTTGATCTGGAAGACCCATAAAGGCCAACCCGCTACGTATCTGCAGGTTATGGGGTGAGTGCGATATGTCGTAGATGCTGAACAGTGCTGACGGGCGTAGGACTGATCCACTTCGTGATGAAGCGCTCGTGTACGAAAGTCTCCTCCAAGACGCCGGCACACCGACCAAGATGGAGGTTTACACTGGGTTGCCACATGGCGCACCCGACTTCTTTCCCATGCACAGCGCCTCGAAGAAGGCATTGGTGGATCTGAAGGAAGGTGTGAGTTGTATCATGCAGCAGAGCTCGGGTTGATACACAGCGAAGGATGTATGCTAGAATATGGCAGATCCTAGGCAATTAATCCATGAGGTTCGCGTCTAATGGCTAGATTCCACGTAAGGATAGCACATGTGAAGAGACAGCCTACTGACCGTTGCTGCCCTAGGGGCTCGCTTAGGGGCGGGACCCTGCTTGGACGCAGGTGGCCTGCACGCGTTATGGCTCCGTCATAGCGCGCCTTTCTTCTTTCACCCCAAGACACACGATACGGGACATCGTACGCCCGCACACACGACGGGCGACGTCCTGCACCGCAGGCAGAGAGCGCCAAGATGTCGAACCATCCGCGGTCAAGCCCCGCCGCCGCGAGGCCTGGCACTCCACGCGGGGCGCGACAAACAAACGGCGACGCGAACCTCCTTTCACACCCGCTCAAACGCCTGTCCCTGCACTCAGCCTCCAACACCCCGCTACCGCAGTCTCCCGCCTTAAACTCGCCCAGAAGTTCCGCTGACCTGCGCCGGACGCCCTCGACGCCCAACTTCAAAGCCAATGCCATCCAGCGCAGTCCCAGTGTAGCCAGTTTCCGCTCCTCTACGCCCACCCTGGGCAGGAAGACCTCGACCTCTTCCCTCCGCGGCGACCCTCCCCGACCGGGCACTCCCCGAAGTTCCGCTTCCCGCCGGTCGTCGTTCAATCCGAATATGCAGGCACCCATGCCCAAGAGCCCGCTGGGCCCCACACATGTAGAAGAGAAGCCACCTCTGCGCGCATGTGATGTCGCCGAGGAGTACTTCAAGAAGGAGCTGGCCCGACATGAGGGCATGGCAGGCGCAGTCAACGCAGGAACTGTCGTCATCGTGCACGACCAATGCTACGGCCATCGCTTCTCACGTCCCAAGACATCCAAGAGCCACCTCAGCTTGATCATGGAGCGACCCGAGAGAATACTGGCGAGTGTCTTGGGCATATCGGCGGCTTACGTACGGCTCGGCGAACGCCATGCTGAGGGAGACAACCCGCCACATCCACACCACAACCCACCCGAACGCGTCCCTTTCAAGATTCGCAAGACTTCGCGCGCCGTCGATATCACTTCGCAGGTCGTCACAAACGTACACGGAACAAAGTGGATGGGCGAACTCAAGACACTCTGCGACAATGCGGAGCGGAAGCTCGCATCAACTGGGAAGGAGCTGGCCAGGGACACTCCTGCAGTCCAAGGACAAGCGCCCAAGCAACAACTCCACGCCGGTGACCTTTACCTCTGTCCCGAATCGCTCAACGCTTTTCAGGGTGCTCTGGGAGGTGTCTTGGACGCTGTGGACGCTGTCTTCCAGGGAACAAGTTTAGGCGGCGGTCCTTCTAGAGCTTTTGTCTGCATCCGTCCGCCTGGCCACCACTGTTCTGACGACTTTCCCTCGGGTTTTTGCTGGCTGAATAATGTTCACGTTGGCATTGAACACGCTATGATGACATACGGACTCACTCACGCGGCCATCATTGACTTTGATCTGCACCACGGAGACGGCTCGCAGGCTATAACATGGGCGCGTAACAAGAAGGTCCAGAACATGCCCAAAAACACCCCCAACTGGAAGAAGACTTCGATCGGCTACTTCAGCTTACACGACATCAACTCGTACCCATGTGAGGATGGCGACGATGACAAAGTCCAGGCGGCTAGTCTCTGTATCGACAACGCCCATGGTCAGTCCATCTGGAACGTCCATCTACAATCATGGAAGACACCCGAGCAGTTCTGGGAAATCTATGAGGAGAAGTACTTAGTACTACTTGAGAAGACGCGTCAATATCTCAAACACCACACCAACCGCCTACGGTCCACGCCAAACCAGCCCGCCCCAAAGGCAGCCATCTTCCTATCTGCTGGTTTCGATGCGAGTGAGTGGGAGACTGCCGGAATGCAACGCCATAGCGTCAACGTGCCTACTGAATTCTACGCTCGTTTCACTCGGGACGTAGTCCGGTTGGCTGAAGAAGAGGGCACATCAGTGGAAGGGCGTGTCATCTCAGTCTTGGAGGGCGGGTACAGCGATCGAGCGCTCACTAGTGGTGTCTTCAGTCATTTGAGTGGTCTTGTGGATGGCCAAGTCTTGAAGGCCTCAGAACCATCCACCGGCCTCTCCCACTCCATGCGCAACAGACTTAGTGGAATCAGCATACAGGACGAAGACGTTCCCATGCAGTCTGTCGAAGCAGAGCTCACGTCCGTCAGCTACGATCCTCAATGGTGGCATACAGATCGTTTGTCCGAATTGGATGGCCTCGTTCCGCCTCCGCCCGTACATGTCTCGAAGACGACACGCACTGACCGTCTCGCCCATTTTTCTTCGCCCACCCAGTCCTACGTAGCCAAAGTCGTGGATCCAACCAAGATTAATCGTAGCCTTTCCGCCAAGTACGCCTCAAATCCATTGAGAGCGCCCACCCCACCACCACCGGAGGTTGACTGGGCTACTGCCGCCCATGCTCTGCGTACTTTGCTGGTACCATCGGATCGCCAAACTCGTAGCCACCGACCAGAGGATTTAGCCGAGGTCAAAGCCAAAAAGGAGAAGCCTGCTGCGTCTGCTGCGGCCCCAGCCCGCACAGATACATCAGGGCGACAACTGCGTGGTCGCAAAGCCGCTCCCTCCTACGCTGAGCCTGGTTCGGACGACGAAAAGACATCTCGTGTAGAATCACGGGCGAGTAGGCGGCAGACCATAGCCGACTTTGCACCAGCCAGCTCAGAAGCTCCAGCTCCAGCAAGCTCTGCTTCTCGTCGTATGAGTATTGCTTCGAGCGTCTCTTCAATCGGCGACAACAGGGGTGTTAGTCGTGCGCCAAGTGTAGCAGCAAGCCGGAGAAGTGTTGCGCCTTCTGCAGCTCCAGCCAACGGAGTTGCGATAAAGAAGGCACGGGGCTCAACAACGACGGCAGCTGCAGCAGCTCGTGCGCCTCCACGTCCAGCCGTTACGAGAATGCCTTCGACCCAATCAGTCAAGCCCAGTGCCCCTAAAGACAAAGAGAATGATGGCATGGACGCACTTACTTCAGGCTTAAAGCGGGTTACGTTGAAGATGCCCTCAAAAGAGGAATATGATGCACGGGAGAGGGAGAAGGCTAAGAAGTTGAAGGCTGCCGAAGCACCGAAAAGAACAACTACCCGAAAGCCACCGGCTGCTCGCGCTCCTCCAACAAAGCCTGCGACCAAACCCGCGACGACCGCAAAAAGGGGTCCAGGTCGTCCAGCAAAGACTTCCAAACCTGCATCCCCAGTTCCCGAAGCCCCGCAGATGCAGGTAGCTGCTTCTGCGCCGCTCGAACAGCCTCAGCCAGTACAGATGGACTCGTCTACTGTCTTGCCACAGCAGGAGATGCAAGCTTCCATGGAACAACCTCCAATCGATCGTCGAATCTCTGGCGGAATCGTGCAACCACCCACTGAGTTGCATGATATGGCTATAACACCCGAGCAAATCCGGGAACAGCTACCTATGGTAAATTCTGACCACGTAATGCACATGAAACATATGCTAACTTCACAGCCATCTTTCGTCACTGTAACAGAGCCACTCAAGGATGTTTCACCACCTTCCCGCGCCGATACGCCTCCGCCTCCACCCCCATCGAATCTTTCCGAGTTTGTCAACTACACTGCGCAGAACTTTGGCGGAAATTCAGAGTTTGTAACTCCGCACGACGCATCAGATCCTCAGGCCTCGGCAACTTTACAGTGGGTTGCCAATACACATGCTGAGGATACAAGCATGCCTGGAGTTCCACTCATGTCACCGCCAAGCAAGAGGGCTGATCTGCCTATCTTCACATCAAACGGCGCGATACCATTCGCATCAAACTCGAACGGAGCCATGAACTCACACACTAGACCGGAGGATGCCGGTGCCGAATTGAAGAAAGAGGAGAATGGAAGGGATATCTGGGACATACCCGACACGCCAGCTCGTTAGAGTACTTCAGTACTACAGCCCCTCCACTCGATTTTGTTCTGCTTTCATTCTTTGATCACGCGTACCGCGATGCGACATCGCGGTTGCGTTAATCAGTGGTCATTGCCGGCTTACGCAAGGCAGACTATACCTGACGTTTCCCAGCTTGGTGTTTATTGGTGGAGTTGATTTCACTTTAGCGAATCGGCGCGTGAGCCGTGACTATTTGGAGTTGTCTTTGTAGAATTTCTGTGGGGCAGATCGTCGATTGTAGCTCTACCTAGAATATGCGCATGTAGAAGATAGATACCCCCGTAGGCGAGTATGCGAAGGATGTAATTCGAAGTTTCTCATACTACAGCTGGCTTTCAATTGTGTTCAATGGCTCCTTGCATCGTCTAAACAGCTTTCAATGAATCAAAGCTGAACCGACCCCGCGGGATCGAAGTTCCAACACCACCCAAAGTACCAATACACCCCTCCCAAGATTGCCACAACCCCCAGGGTAGGAAACCCTGCCTAAGCGCCCGTCCGAATCCCGTACTCAGCGCCGGTGTAACTGCAGCCCCCGCAGGCGGCCGCCCAAGTACATGGTGTAGCATGTCAACATCGGTGTGGGCAGGCGCGGGAACCAATGATTAGCGTGCATTCCGTATCATGGGACAAGGTTTCGGTGCGGGGCAGCCAACGCGCGACATGCGCATCATGCACGTCCAAGGGTCTTAGCTTACGGGGCGTGACGTACTTCTGGGTCGCGTCCTTGATTGCGACGGCTAGTTGGTTGCCTGGGAGGAGTGTGTGTAGGAGGATGAAACGTACACGGGGATGGGGGCAGCTGGAAGATGGGGGGCGAGTACTGTACTTATGGTGGCTGATCCGACGGAAAGGTTGATACGCTTCTCCTTCGCTCCTGCCTGTACACCTTTTGACAGGACGCTTGGACGTGGTTTGTTTGCTGGGTCCCGGTACTTGATTAGGGCGAAGGCGTGGGCTAAGGTGCAAGTACCCGATTGACCACTCTACTCTTCGTTTGTTCAGCTTGTGCTACTTGTTTCTCTTCTTCCTCTTCTACCTTTCGCCCCCCTCCCACCGACAACACCACCGACATCTACACCAAAAGTTCCCCCATCCACACCCCAAACAAACCTCACAACCATGGCCGACGCCGCCCCCGCCAACGACTCCAACGGCGGCAGCAGCACGCTCAACCCCTTCGCAAAACGCACCTCGCACTCCGACCAGAGCATCCTCCTCTACAAGATCACCACCACAATCTCGTGGCTGCTCCTCGTCATCTCCGCCATCTACACCACCTTCGCCGCACCTTCAGGCCCCCACTCGCACAAGTTCTGGCACAACAACCCGCAAACCCCGTTCGCGCAGTCCAGCATCTTCACGTCCATCTACGTGCTCATCATCTTCATCCTGCAAGGCGGCTACGCATACGCCCTGTACATGAGCGACGAGACGTACGTGACTGCAGCTGCAAACCTCGGTTCGCACTTCATCGCCAACAACCTTCTTCTCTTTGGCTTTGTCCACCTCTTCACCCGCTCGCACTTCTGGCTCGCGCTCTTCTTGTTGGTCCTCAACTTTGGTAATCTCAGCTTGGCTTATTTCCGCCACTCTGCTGCCCCGAGGACCATCCATGTGGGTACTGTGAGTGGACCGCTTGCGTGGAACTTTGTTGCGTTGTACTGGGTTGGTGCTATTGCGGTTCACTCGAATCACTTTGCTGCGAGGATCGTGGCGAATGTGTTTATTTGGGGGTGGCTTGGGTATGGCATGTTCTTCTTGGTTGCGTACAAGGATTACACCATGGGCTTTGCTTTGAGTGTACTGGCTTTCTGTAAGTTTGACCTCTTTTCTCTATCGTGCGAAAGCGATTTGGCTAACTTGGCTTCTAGCAACTGGTGTCGGACAGTTCCTGACTCGCCCGCATCTCTTGCAGCTCCAATGGATCTTCGCTTTCTCAATCGGCGGTCTACTCTTCCTCCTCTCGCTTGCTGTTGGCATGCCAGGCCTGCTCGGACGCGATCCCTTCCCCCGTGGCCAGATCGTCAGCGAGGACCGAGAGAGGGCACCTCTGTTGGCTGATGACTAGGCGGCTGTTGAAACGGCATCACGGATCTATCTGCATGCTGTATTGCTTGCAGATAAAGAGATGATGATCTGATTGGGCGACTATTAGGATATGATTTTCAGGTTCAAGTTTGAGGACATGTACACATGGCACACACCATATTGGTTTGACCGTCGAGACGTATAGGCAACAAGGGCCTATGATACCTATGGCTCACGTAGTTGAAAGCGTCTGCTACCATTGAAGTAGCATAAAAGTCTCATCTCCATCAAGCTTTGTATGATGTACATCTCCCCGTGATCATTACACTATCTACAAACGTCTACTAATACTAACTGGCCCCCTTAAAGTAAAAGATCCTGATTCCCGTCGTTCGCTCCAGGACTCAAAACCATGTGTTGCGGCTCGTTTTGATTAACCACCCATCCACCTCCAGCACCGCCGCCGACTTGATCTGCAATCGGACTACCACCGAAGGTGCTCTGCCTTCCTACACTAGCAAAGTACATGTCTGCATCACTGACGGCGTTCGCCATGCCATTACCATTTGTCGGCGAAAGTGATCCATTACCATTAGTAGTGGTGTCGAGTCGCGAGCGTTCGGCGGCGGAGCGGTCTCGAGCCTGCTGTGCTGCTTTGACAGTTGGCAGTTCGTGCTTTTGGAGTGCTGGCGAGTCTTGCAGTTTACGTGGGCGAGCGCTGCGGAAGACTTGGTTGACTGGTTTGAGGTACACAGTAGCCAGTGTGCCGACGTTCAGACACATCTCTTCCAGGGTACCGGGGTCGAGCTTCTCAGACTCTTCGGCAGTAATCGGAGGCTTCTCACCCATGACGACCTTCTTCGCTTCTTCGGGTGCGGAAGAGAGTAGACGCCAGTACATATAGCCTCTATCGCGGAGATCGGGGTTGTCTGTTTCTTCAGTTGCCCACTTCAGTACCTTTGGTACTAGATTGGAGCCGCGGGTAGGTCTTTGAATGAACAACTTGACGGTGGCGGTAAGTAGCGCCAATTGCACCTCATGGGTCTCTTCTTGGAAGGTATCCAGGAAGTCTTCCAGCAAGACGTCCGAGTCTTCTATTCGGTCTGCGTATTGCCCGATGACCCAGATCATAGCGGCTTTCGCTTCTGGTTCGTCTAGTGAGTCGAGGTTCTCACATAGTGTCGAGATAATCGACTCGTATTGGTTGGGGTATTTCCGGAAGATATTGCGGATGACGACGGTTGCTTCTTGTACGATGTATGAGACTTTGGTGCTGACGAGCGAGAGGAGGGTGCTGATGCACAATTGTGCAGCTGGCGCGATTTTGATGGCAAGTTTGCCAATGGCGCGTACAGACTTGCGCACAAAGTCGACGTCGATCTCGGTAGCGTATCTGTCGTAGAAGTCAGTTACCCATATTCAGAGTGACCTTTGAGTACTTACTCAGAAAGCTCCGTCAGCACTTCCTTGATGTTTCTCTCCGTCGCCAGCATGAAGATAAGCTCCAGCTTCGTCACCTTGACGTAGATAGGGTCGTTGTATTTGCAGAAGAAGACGCGGATATCGTTCCGCAATACTTCCGGTCTGCGCTGCAGGATCAGGAGGGCATTGCGAAGTGCTAGGTATTGAATCTCGGGTCCTTTGGAGAGGAGAGTGACGAGCGGCGGTGACAGCTTGTTGCATAATGAAGTAACAACTTTCTGGTCGCTGATGTAGTTCATTAGGTAGAGGATAACGCGAATGCAGGTAAGAACGACGGCAGAATTCGAGTGGGAAAGACGTGGCGATATGCGCTCCGCGAGGAGAGCAGCTTCGCTCGTGTCCTGGGGGACGTAGTTCATCATAGCCTCCAGAATGTATGTCTGACCCCACTCTGAGCAGTCTGGCAGAATCTGAACAATCTTGGATGCGCTCGCATAGTCGATTGTGAGCTTAATGTTCTCACTTCGCTCCCAGATGTCCATGAGTCCTGCCAGTGCACTTGACACTACTGTGGGATTCTCGTCTCTCAGCATGCCATTCAGTCTGTCGATCAGATCTGATTGTTCCACCAAGTGTCGGTCGTGGTCGTAAAGCTTCGCTACGCAGAAAGCTGCCGTCTTTCGGACGTATGGATCGGAGTCTTTGAGGAGGTTCTTCAGGTGCGGCACGGTTGCCTCGACGAATTCTCGAACGTGAACGTAGGACATGGTCCGTAATGCGAGTGCTCGTACTAAGGGGTTGTTGTCGTGCATGTCTTCCTGTATAATGGGCAGCGCCTTGAGCGCAATGTCAGGTTTTATCCTGGCATAGTTGACGAGATACAGGAAACACCTGCCCGCGTCAGCATAGCCCTTCTTCAGGTAATCCTCACTACGCACATCTTCTTGATCTCCAAACTCGGTATGTGCATGCAGCCCACTATGTCCATGAATAGCGCGACCATGTCGTTGTTGCTCATGGTCATGTTGGCGACAATCTTCTTGAGGGCCGTCTTCTTCTGGGAGAAGTTCTTGTCCTTCTTGTTGCCATTGTTGAGTTCGACACGGAGTTCCGCGACTTTGCCCTGGGGAGTGCGGAGGTTTTGTAAGCGCGCGTTGTCAAAGGTGTAGGGTAGAAACATCATCATGGCAGTAGATGCTCATAGCAGACAGACAGGCTGAATAGGAGAACATGCAATTGCACAAGTCGGAGACGTGGGTGGCACGAATGACGAGACAGACGTACCCTCGCAAAGAGCTTCGCATCTTGGCCGCCCTGGCTCATGTTGGGCTAATGATGTCGCGTATGCCAGCTGGGCTGTCCTCCCAATGCATGTGCCTGCCGTAGCACAATCAAGATAACCTCCCTCGCGACTTAGCGCCCCTCCCTTGCCGTCTCGAGGAAGCGTGCGGGGTTCGATGGCTGATTCGCTGGTCTATCGGCTTCGTATCGTGTCGCGCATATCGGAGGAACGTGGAAGAGGGCTGGAGAGGCGT